AGGGCTAAGATATTTTATGGCATTTATGTAAATAAATGAGAAAATTAAACACGGGGGTATTGTTCAAAAATCAATCGAAGGGCATTTACGGTACTGAAGATATTACTCCCCCCAAATCAATCGATGCCTCTCTCAAATCCCTCATAAACGAATAACAGATGAGAAATTGGACAAGATCTATGAGAGCTCAAGGTCACCTCTCTCACATTGTCGAAGCTTGAAATCACTCACAGCTTATCGCCTTCATTGAAGATTCTCCGATGATTGATAGATTTAACATCGCGGTGGTTGCGTCATTCTTCCCTCTCGAAGTTTCGTGCCCTAATAAATCAACCAGAGGTCCGATCGATCCGAACCTCCCGATTCTCCTTCGCCTCTGAGCTTCCGGTCTCTGAGCCAGAGGACGACTCGATGTTCTGAAGCAGCAACACCGTCCGTTTAATCCAGAGTCTGTCCGACATCGATAATATGAGCGGCTTTATCTCGTTGATCACAGGTAAGTTTTTCCCATCGTTAATCAATTGGAAAACCAAATTCAACTTCAAGTTACAAACCTTTGTGTTCCTCTTCGCTCAGTCTGTCATCGGAAAAGAAAATCAGAGCAATTATATTTCCTCTTAGAATCTATGCTGAAAGCTTGATAGAGGTAACATTGTCTTGCAGTTGCAATATGATCAGCGAGAAGATATTTGACCTGAAGCTCATTGTAATCAAATAGTTCAAATTATAATTATGAACTCAATAATGTTACTAATTAGTAAAAGTATATATTAATAACTACGATTGTAGGTATATTTCCATGAAAAGCTACGCATTTGTTGTTTGTTTATATAAGTTTTTACAAATATATCAAATTATTCTTGAAAAATCTCATACTTTTGACATCTTTTTCATTCAGGGTTGCATATGATGTTAGCCTCAGCGATGATGGTTGGTCTTCTGAGATATTCAGCATCATCTCAGGGAACACTTCAACTTCATGGGAAAGACTTGATGTGTATGTATCACATAAAAAACTATTCTTGAATTGATGTTTTCTTTTCTTTAGTTCATTCTCACAATAATTACTTGTCATATTTTCAGTGGTGTTGTTCTATCACACTCTTTTGAGCTAGAGTCAACAGTAAAAACTGTCTTTTACAGCACACCTGCTGTTATTACATTCCGTGTCCCCACAAAGGCTGCACTACAGGTTTGATTCATGCAAATATGAAGTTATTTTATTATTATAATTTATAAATATATATTATATTATGTGTTTAGTCTTACAATCTTTTTTACTGTTGCAGGAAGCATATTCAACCCCATTTCTTTCTGCCTCTTGAATGAAATTCTATCAGATAAGCCACGTGAGAACACATTTGATCTTGTAAGTCTTTTACTTTTTAAAACAAATTTATATAAATTGATTTAGAATTGAAATAAATGTCTTCTTAACTAATAATGCATTGCTGGTTGTTATGCATGAATGTGTGCTTTGATGGATGCTACTCTTTCAGGCTAAGGTATGGAATGCCCTTTTTATCAATTACCAATGTTTTTCTTTATATTGGTGATCTGGTTTTAGAAATTTGGACAAATGTGAAATGTCGTTTTTAACCCTGAATTAATATCTTACATTATGTAAATGCGCAGAGGTTGTTGGCAAAATACGGGTCATTAGTGTCAGTGATTTCCATAGTGGTGCTATTTGTGTACCTTGTTATATATATGCAATTTTCCATAAATATGAAAACTGAAGAGACACTATAACATATTACTGAGGGGGTGCTTTTTAATTAAGATTTTGGAGTTTTAAATGGTGTGATGTTAGTTATTAAAGGTGGTGAGTGGTGATGACAGGTGATGTACTATCTGGAACATGGTCTGAAGGGGAAAACGAACACCATTTAGGAGTGATGCTAGAATGGTTTGGTCAACAATGGTGGACTACACGTTCGGTCTTGTTGCTTCTAACAACCCTCCTTGTTTTCTCTCCTCTGATATCCTTTAAACATGTAGGTGAGTTTCACATACTCTTTACCTGAACAGATGCATGCTTCTATGTTCCAAAAGAGACCATTTTTAAACATATAATTTGTGAGGATACCTGTGATTTTTTCGATAAGATACAGTTGATTGTTTGCTTTATACAGTTGATTGTTTTCTTTAAAGTATAATTGGGTATAATTTTTAAAGTATAATGACCAAGGCGACCTCATGTAGACATAGTTTATGAAGAAAAAATAAAATGGTTTATTTCCAGATCCTATACAAAAATATACATCAAAACTTTTGACAATAAATACCAAATTAGGTGTGTTGTTGCCTTTCCTGATCAACAAGGTTTCTTCAAATCCTCTGCATCATTTGCTGGCCATTGGAGGTTATATACTGCATTTCGAGTCTCTACAGCTTCTTCAACAGATGAATACTACAGAAGAAAAATAAATAAATAAATATTTTCTTATTTAAGTATAAAAAGAGAAGTGAAAGTGAACTTATAGTAACATAACCGTGAGTTTTAATATGATCCATCCAGAAGCTGACAACTGTCCCAGTTTTACCAAGAAGTTCTTGAACAGCCTTTAAAGTAAACGGACGCAGAAAACGGTCAACTCTGAGAGAAGTAGTTGCAGGCTTTGAAGATGGAGGAACTGCCAAATCAACAAATGACACAAATATGAAAAGGGCATTCTCGTCTTTTCACAAAAACAATAGACAAGCGATAACTCACCAACACGTTCTTTTGGCTCTTCATGGCTAACTGAAGAATCAGATCTTGAAAAGTTGTTCTTCATTGAACTACCCTTAGGTGTAGTAGTCTATTCAGGGGCATTATTGGAATTCCAGGATAAAGGACAGTTGTCGGGTCAAGAAAACCCGATCCATTGTCAAAGGCGTTCCCTCTTCTTGAATCCGGGTCAACTCTAATCGGGTTTCCTTTCTTGTCGAATACTGCAGCTGCGTTTTTTGTTCTGTATGTCAGATTCTTTGATTACAATTTCACAATAAAAGTTTTTAATTTTACATATAGTCATGATTGCAGATTTGATGGCGGATGGAGACCATGAAGGATGAACGGCTTTGACCAAAGCTACAATTCCAGTGGCATGTGGACATGCCATGGATGTTCCAGATAAAATATTAAATTTCATTTTTCCAATTGCAGGTGACCATGCTGCAAGGATATTTAACCCTGGAGCTGTAACATCAGGCTACAAAACAATACAGGTAATAAAAAATCATTTCCCCTTTTATTTAAAAAAAATCATTATGAATCTATAGTTATTCACATTACTAATCACATGTTATTAGTAATGTGAATCGTTATGATACTGTGTATTATTAATCACATGTTATTCACATATGAATCACATGTAATTCATATATGAATTAGATTTCATTCACATGTAATTCATATATGAATTACATGTGATTCACATGTAAATCACATATGAATTACATTTAAATCACATGTGTTATATGTGATTCACATGTAAATCATATGTAATTCACATAGTAATCACATGTAATTCACATGTAAATCACAAGTGAATCACATATCAATTACATGTGATTCACATGTAAATCACAAGTTAATTACATCTGATTCACATGTAAATCACAAGTGAATCACATATGAATTACGTCTATATGCACACATGCATTTCGTGTAAGTGCTCTTTGTTAATGAAGCATTCTTGCCAAAGAGTTGATGAAGCAATTGTTAAATTTCATTTTTCCAATTGCACGTGACCATGCTGCAGGGATATTTAACCTTGGAGCGGTAACATCATGCTACAAAACAAAACAGGTAATAAAAAATCATTTCCCCTTTTATTTAAAAAAAATCGTTATGAATCTACAGTTATTCACATTACTAATCACATGTTATTAGTAATGTGAATAGTTATGGTACTGTGTATTATTAATCACATATTATTCACATATGAATCACATGTAAATCATATATGAATTAGATTTGATTCACATGTAATTCACATATGAATTACATATGATTCACGTGTAAATCACATATGAATTACATGTGATTCACATGTAAATCACAAGTGAATCACATATCAATTACATGTAAATCACAAGTGAATCACATATGAATTACGTCTATATGCACACATGCATTTTGTGTAAGTGTTCTTTGTTAATTATTTTTTAAAATTTTCTTGTGACTTTCACATTTAAATCTTAAAAGATACAATCACATGTGAATATCACATTATATAATAACATGTGAATCTTACATGATATATACATGTGCGTGTTCTTGCATTAATCAATTTTTTTTTTTATTTTCTTGTAGATTTGAAGAATTTTTGGAAAATATTGAAGATGTGAAAAGTGATAAATTGAAGAAAATATAGAAATCTTGATATGAAGAAATGATAACACTGTGAATCTTTGTATTTTTTTTATATTTTATTTTGTATCGAATAAATTACTTGTATTATATTTATAGATTGATTAATAAAAATGAGATGTTTTATAATTTACTTACGAATATTATAGTATAAGAAATATGCATATATCCATTTGAAAAAAATATGCATATATGCACCTAAAATGTTGATTTTTTTGTTAAAAAAATGCAGTTTTGAAAAAAAATTGCACTTTTTTATAAAAATCGCAGTTTTTTTCCTGAAAAAAATGCAGTTGTTTCTGGAAAAAAACGCAGTTTTTAAAAAAAATGCAGTTTTTTTCTAGATAAAATGTTGTTTTTTTTTTTTTTGAAAAAAAGATGCAGTTTTTAAAAATATATTTTTTTCATTTTTTTTTTAAATTCATGTTTTTTGAAAAAAAAAATAAAAAATCTCAATTTTTTAAAAAAATCGAAAATTATTTTTAAAAAAAAAAAATAAATCCGAAATTTTTAATTATTTTGTTAATTTTTAGACATTTATATTAATATATTAAATAAAACAAAAAAATTAAACCTTAACGAATTACTTTTGATCCAACGCTCCACTTTTAGTTCTCGGGTTCTCGGAAAACTTTGAGTTCTCAACCGATCTCAACCCGATATATATATATATATATATATATATATATATAGATATAGATATATATATATATATATATATATTAATATATATATATATATATATATATATATATATATATATATATATATATAGGGTTGAGATCGGTTGAGAACTCAAACTTTTCCGAGAACCCGAGAACTAAAAGTGGAGCGTTGGATCAAAAGTAATTCGTTAAGGACATGATCGTCATCTTACCAATCTCATTTAATGTTTAATTTTTTGTGTTATTTAATATATTAATATAAATGTCTAAAAAATAACAAAATAACTCAAAATTTCAGATTTATTTTTTTAAAAAAAAATAATTTTTTCGTTTTTTTTTAAATGGAGATTTTTTAATTTTTTTCAAAAAACATGAATTTTTCAAAAAAAATGAAAAAAAGAATTTTTTAAAAATCTGCATCTTTTTTCCAAAAAAAAACTACAATTTTTTTTAAAAAAAAAACTGCATTTTTTTTTAAAAAAACTGCATATTTTCTAGAAAAAAAAAACTGTATTTTTTTTTTCAAAAAAACCTGCATTTGTTTTCAAAAAACTGCATTTTTTTTTTCATAAAAACTGCATTTTTTTCCGAAAAAAAAAAACTGCGATTTTTATAAAAAAGTGCACTTTTTTTCAAAACTGTATTTTTTTAACAAAAAAATCAACGTTTTAGGTGCATATATGCATATTTCTTATACTATAATATTCGTAAGTAAATTATAAAAAATCTCATTTTTATTAATCAATCTATAAACATAATACAAGTATTCGATACAAAATAAAATATAAAAAAACTACAAAGATTAGCAGTGTTATCATTTCTTCATATCAAGATTTGCATATTTTCTTCAATTTATCACTTTCACCTCTTCAATATTTTCAACAAACTCTTCACAACCTACAAAAAAATTTTAAAAAAAATTGATTAATGCAAGAACACTCAGAAAAATGCACAATTATATATCATGTAAGATTCACATGTGATTATATCATGTAAGATTCAAATGTGATTATATAATGTGATATTCACATGTGATTGTATCTTTTAAGATTCAAATGTGAAATTCACAAGAAAATTAAAAAAAAAAATAATTAACAAAGACCACTCACACAAAATGCATGTGTGCGACGTAATTCATATGTGATTCACTAGTGATTTACATGTGAATCACATGAAATTCATATGTTATTCACTTGTGATTTACATGTGAATCACATGTAATTGATATGTGATTCACTTGTGATTTACATGTGATTAATATGTGAATTACATGTAATTTATATGTGAATCATATATGAATTACATCTGATTTACATGTGAATCACATGTAATTCATATGTGAATTAGATATTATATACATGTAAATCACATGTAATTCATATGTGATTCACTAGTGATTTACATGTGAATCACATATAATTCATATGTGATTCACTTGTGATTTACATGTGAATCATATGTGAATTACATGTAATTCATATGTGAATTACATGTAATTCATATGTGAATCACTTGTGATTTACATGTGAATCACACGTAATTCATATGTGAATTACATGTGATTTACATATGAATCATGTGTGAGTTACATGTGATTTACATGTGAATCACATGTAATTCTTATGTGATTTACATGTGAATCACATGTAATTCATAATTACATGTGAATCACATGTAATTCATAATTACATGTGAATCACATGTAATTCATATGTGATTTACTTGTGAATCACATGTAATTCACATATGAATTACATGTGATTTACTTATAACCGTCACACCATGATTCAGACAAATACAAAAATTCAAGAAAATTCGAACATGAACCATTATCAATTATGATTGACCTGATAAAAGAGTTTTTGGATGACACTTTGAATCATATCCACATGGAGATCCTTGTTCTTCTTCCGAGTCTTGTTCTTCCGTTTTTACAGTTGAGTTCTCATGCACATATCATTATATATTGCACTGCTTCCCGTGAATGCAATCTGTAAAACATGCTTCCTTCCATGCATCTCCAAAGGCCTGTTATGTAACATACATGTAAATAAAAAGAATCCCCTTAATGACTCCATCAATACACTCAAGAAAGACTATATATGTATATTCACCTTTGTGTCATCAAAAACTCCATCTCCAACAGCACCAAAGCTATCAACATTCATAAGCACCCTGACACCACGTTCATCACCTGACCATGATGGCAAGTCAGAATCATCTTCTATTTTTAAACTTTTATCCTCAAGCATGTCCAAGGAGTCAGAAAAATTGCTTTCTGCATACTCACAAACCAACAATAAAGACAGAGAAAGAAAAGAAATAAATACAAGAGTGCTCATGATTTTGTTGTTTGTTTGTTTAGATTAAATCATGTTTTGAGTCACCCAATAAGCCTCAAAACAATCTTTCAAAGTCCTTCTATGAGAATTGATGGTGAAAGAAATCCAAGTTCCTATTTGTGCAACCTACTTTGTTTTCCACCAAATATTTTGTACCTTGATGAGTGGGTTGTGAGTGGGATGACATTTTTATTGTTTGACATGCCACGTCTGTTAAGAGGCTAATTTTTACCCTTGTGGGTGTTCTTAGTGATGGCTTAATGTGTTAAGTGGTCAAAAAGCCTTTGAAATCCAAAGCTGGAAAATTCAGCAAAAATTACAAATCTGTCCCTGTATTGGAAAAATTATAGAAAAATCACTAGGAATCGTTTGGACCTTCAAAAGTACATTCTGAAAAGATAAAATTTTGAACTTCTGGAATATGAAATAAAAACGGAAGTTATACAGGCTTCAAGTGTGCTAAAACAGCTTTAAATCAGATGAGAATCTGAGATCATACTTGGTTTATGTTTCCAGGGTATGGAGAAAAGCCAGTTTCACAATTGACATCACCATCAAGATGACCTGTTGCTCTAAGGAGAGGATCAAGTTGATTGTATTCCACATTAATCACCATTTCCCTACCTAATATCATATTATTTAGACACAAGAATAATCATGTATAGCAATGAATAATAAATATTAAAAACATAATAAAAATTACAGTCACTAGTCAACACAATTTACCATATGTATGAGTAAGCTTTGTAATGCCTCCAATGGCTTCTTTGGCCTTTCAAGGAACAGGAAGGGAATTAACATGGTATTCTTTAGTGGCACTAACTCCTAATGTTGCATGAATCGCCTAAAAAATGGGAACAAATTAAATTTTATTTAAACTTTTTCCCACATGAAGTAATTATGCTACGATTTAGATGAACCTTAAAAAGAAGTCCATTTGTATCTTGAAAAATAAGACCCATCTCAAACCAGCATCTTTCCTGCAAAAATTGTAACAGTGGCTTCATAACTTGGATCAAGAGGGTTAATATTGGCACTTAAATTTAAGCTATAATTACAAAATGTAAAGATTATATAGGACACAAATAAAGTAAAAGACCTACACACCATTCTTTAAGAAGACCACTGGAATAAAGAAGAGCATGAACATCACCATGGCCATGAGGTTTTGTCTAATAAGAAAACAATAGATTATGATGTTATGAAAAGCCAAAGGGATCAACTTGTATAACTTTTAAAATCTCACCTGTATTTTGTATTTATTGTTTGGGTCTAAAGCAAGCCTAGCATCATTATCAGCCAAGCAAGCAACTTTTTCTTGGAATATGGTTAAGGTGAACTGTCAACACCATTTTAACTGCTGTAAATTGTAACGAGTATCAATGGTGAAAAAAGTTTACATGTTTTAAAAGCTTTACTTGTGTAGGTTTCATTCCAAAATAAGAATTTGATTCTAAGAGTTGTAACGTATGCCCATGTGTATCATCTGATGTCATTATCACAAGAGGTACATCTCTTTGGCATTCACCTAAAATTCAGAAGTAATGATGGTATGATGTAATCAGAAAATTAATGGACTAATTTTTGGATGCTACAGAAAGTAAAAAAAAGAAGAACCTTGAGCATGCTTGTAGCTAGCTTGTGATAAGGACAATATGGACTCAATGTAATGTTGTAAGAAACAAGTTCCAATAGTTGTTTCCATGGGAAGCGCTACCTGTAAGATGATGCTAATTTTACTATATAGCATTAAGTCAAATAAACAAATGTTTTGATATTAGTATTGATAAAATGATGTGAAAACCTTTATTCCTTTGTATCCAAGACGTTCCCCAAGCCCTCCTGCAACAAGAACAAAGGCAGCGTTCTGTATCTGCTTCACACCACTCTCCTCATATTGGATAAAGTTATCATCACCACAAGTGAGGACTTCGCCTGATGGAACCTTCAAAAATAGACACCTTTTTTTATATTGAATGATCATAATGAGATAAACTTAACAATGCAGATAATCAAGAAAACAAAAGGCCAAGTTGCAGTGATTGATACCAATATGGGGTATAGTAGTAACTTACAGAAGGTGTGAAGCCATCAAATGGGTTCCTTGCTGCCTTTGAATCTGCCAAGAGTTCTCTGGCGGTCTTGATATATGATGCCAAACCTCCAGGGTAACTTGAATTAAGCAAATCTACCTAAAAGAACTAAGCAAATGTCATTCTAGGATACAAACAGCAACAAAAATTGTGGCAATCCTTTGCATAAGCATCAAAAAGCTAGGATTTGATATACTTTTAATATAATATTTCCAATTTAGGGTAATGAAGATGCGATTACACGATACCAAGGTCAATGGAGATCGGCCATCAAAGGAATAACATATAGAAACGACCAAATTTAATTGCCTAATTCAAAAACCCTAGCAGCAAGTAAAATTACCTGAGCAAGCAGAGCTTTTTTATCATCATCATCAACACCAGGATCAGGCCAATTCTCAAACAAATTAACCTGCCCTGTCTCCAACAACATCTTTCCGAGCTCTATCTGCACATACCCCAAAAAGATAAAATCAATCCCGTATGACTCATTGTTATAACAGACACACACATACCTGTTCGAGAGATAGAATGGAGAGGTTTTTTTTGGAGATTAGGAGATGAAGATGTGGAGAGTTCATTGAGTTGAACGGTGGCGAGTTTCTGAATGGCGGAATCGACCGTTGAAGCCATGAATTAGGAAATTGTGAGGACGATCAACTTTGATCTAGAAACAGAGCTCGGTAATTGCAAACAAAAAATGGTGAATGTGAAGAAGATGATTACAACAATGAAGTAGAGAAATAGCAGACGGAATATTTTTGGAGTATATATTCAAATCAGTTTATCATATTCTAACCCTAATTACACACCTAAACAAAAAAATCGACTACTCAAACTCAAATTAAGTTCATATTCAAACTCAAATTACCACCCCTGGTTTTGGAGAACATATCAACCCCTCGGAATTGGAGGCAAAATGAGTTCTAAATTCTAATTTCGAGATAATTGCACTATAATCCAAAATTCAATACCTATAAAATGTAATGCTAACAAATGTAATAATAAACGTAGAGGAGGGAAGAAAGTACTGACTCTGCTAGGTCACCGAGCTGACGGAGAACGCCAACGAGACCGGCCATGGCAACACCTTCAAGCAAAGCTTCGGGATCATCTTTATCTGCTGCTTTATAGAGCTATTGATCAGCCAAACTGTACATATTTCTTATCTGATATCTATCTATCGATATTTCTTCAGATTTCCAACTGGACATTCGATAGGACTATCTTCTCCAAATCGACAAGTCAAGATCAGATTCAGAAGAAAACGACCGACCTAATGCTTCATTGTAGATTTTCCGATGAACTATACTCGCATCCTGTCACACTTCGACGATGATTTCAGGATTTGAGATCCGACGATTTGAGACCGGATGTGTGATGAAGGGTAGAGAGAGGATCGAGAGAGAGATAGCATAAAGAGTTGGCGTGATTAAATGTCCCTAAAATGTCCATGATTTATTTTAATAAGATGCCCCCGCCCCATTTTATTTTCAGATATTTACGAAAGTGCCACGAAGCATCCTAACCCTCTATTATTTTAATCTAACGGTTATTATTTAGTTCTCGGATTCTCAGGAAACTTTGAGTTCTCAAATGATCCTTCCTCTATATATATATATATATATATATATATATATATATATATATATATATATATATATAATATATATATATATATATATATATATATATATATATAATACTTTTTATAAGTTTAAAACAGAAAAAATAGAGTTTTAAGTTTATCCAAATAAAATGTTAACATCAATTCGATGGATATGAGTCACTCATCTACATCATTTTGTTGTCACTTCATATGTCATGTCACTTTCCACATCACACCAAAGTTATTAGGAAATACCCAACATACCACTTTAATTTTCATATCATTTTTTTCTTTTTCTTTTTCATTTTTTTTCAATAATATAAAAATAAATTATATAACATTAAAAAAATATATCATATATATATATATATATATATATATATATATATATATATATATATATATATTAAAGCTCATGGGATGTTTGAGCAGTATACTTTCACTACTTTAGATTTTCGCCACAGGGTTTTCGGAATTTGGTAAGATAGGTCCTTTGTTTTTATCATTTTACACTTTGGTGGCCCTGCTTTCATGTTCTGTTCACTTTCCTCCCTTACAATCTTCTACCGTCTTTTGTCACTATCTAAAGACTGACTTGCCCTTCCTTACATTGCCGCCTTCGTTGGTTATTATCACAACCGACCCCATGGTTGGTTCACAGAAGAAGTAGCGAGAACCCTTTCAGCATACCAGAAGAAAGCACCACAAAACTGACATATGAGCGAGCAGTCACCACAATCATCGTAGGTTAGAGAGAGGAAGGCCGACAGTTGTCGACGTCTAAAGACCGACTTGCCCTTCCTCACATCGCCGCCTTCGTTGGTTATTATCACAACCGACCCCATGGTTGGTTCACAGTAGAAGTAGCGAGAACCCTTTCAGCATACCAGAAGAAAGCACAACAGAACTGACATACGAGCGAGCGAGCAGTCACCACAATCATCGTAGGTTAGAGAGATGAAGGCCGACAGTCGTCGACGTTTCCGAACAGGAGACGAAGACGACACAGAGGAAGAAAGCAACAGGTGAGACGAAGCAGGTCTCTCCGGTCGACAAGCCATGAAAGACATGAGACAAAATAATAATCGCCAAACGGAAGTCGTCGATGATAGCAGGAAGCAGCAGGAGAATTATAAAACCCAATTACGTAACCCTAAAGAAAGATGAGAAAAGAGAGAGAAAAAAATTAGCTGTTGTAAGGAGAGTGACGAGGGAGAAACACGGAATGACCCTTCCTTAATTGAAGACTATTATAGCTTCAAACCCCTCTTCTCAGGTTCTATTTATTTTTCTCTATTCCTTAGTTCCGTCTTTTTGGATTAATTTACACTTTTTTTTTTAAGATATTTGCGGTAATCGACACAGGTAGGGTTACTTGGTTACTCTCTTTAAGTTCGATTTGTTATTGTTTGTACTACATGTGGATAAACTTTTATCACCCAAGGAATTCTAATTTGCCTTTTGTTTACTGATTTCAGTTTGTAAAACGGAAACTGCTACAGTCATCATGCTCATTCAAAGTCGATGAAATTGAAAAGGTAAAAACTTCTAATTATCTGTAATGTAAATACATGATTGATGTAGTTAACAAATCATAAAGGGTATCATCTTCTATTGTTTTGGTAACACCACTAATAAATATGCTTCCGTGTTGGAGGGTTTTCTATTATCTGGATGTTCTCATGTTCATTTGATCATCAACTTTCATGACCTTTGTTCACAGAGTTGTCTAAAATTAAACATGCAAGACTTATCTTTTTTGGTGTATCTGATTTAATCAAAATCATTCTATAAATTAAGCTACTTACATATGAAGTTGGTTTTGTTGCAGGAATAATATTTTGAGGCAAAACAAAGACGCAAAATCTGAAATTGGCAACCATTTACATTCAAACTAGCAAAGTTTTACAGAAGATCATGTATTTGGAAAGAAGAAACTTTAAAACAAGAACTATTAAAGAGAGTTTGACTATGTATGCTAACTGCTCGATGAAATCCTTAAACCAAAGTGCACCAGCTCTTGAGAGATAATGACATAGCAACATGGGAGAAATTAGAGCCAGTGAAGGTTGTGTACACGACTGTGAACGATTTTTTTTTTTTTAGAATTATATGACGAAAACTCCAGTGACTTAAACAATGACAAATTAAAACGGATGGGAGGACGAGGCTTGTAATGCTGCCACTTTACTCTCACTTTTGTATCTAAACAATTAGGTAACTATATGTCTACTCCAAAATATCTTTAGTTAAGTGCTTCATTTGATTTTATGTTACATTTTTAATGTTAAAATATTAACCATCCACTCACTTCAGGAGTCTGCGGGAATCATCAAACCTCTGGCAGCATGCTAATATTTTTTGGTCTTTCTTTCTCAACATACTCTGCAACAGGTAAGAGGTCTTCTTTTTTACACTCAACAATAATTCTTTTTTTCCCAATTAAGTCCGGTATGAGTAAGGTGACTTTATAGGTGGTAAAGAAATAAAGCCGACATAAAAAAATAAAAAGTTACCAAAGGTTTATGTTGTTTTTTAGACTGAATAAACTGTTATAGTCAGACAAAATAACCATTTTACCCTTGCATTCAAAAAACCAAATTTCATAACATTCATCAATTTTAACATAAGGAGTTGGCATGGAAAGTATGTTACTGTTTCATGCATTTAGCCCTTAAAAATTCAATTGTTTCTACACCAATAACCGTAGATATTGCTATAATCTACACGAATAGTTCCTTTTACTAAGCTTTTGAAAAAAAAATCAACATTGTATTCTATTTGAATTACATTGCAAACTACAATGTTGTAATAGAAAGAAGTATAAATAGGATGCTAAAATAAAACAAATAGATGATACTTTCCTACTTTTCATTACATCTAACCCTCAAGTAAATAAGCATCTCTATTACAAGTTAACAAAGTCGAACATTGGATGGAATTATATGTTAAAAATGAAAAAAAAAATTAATTTCAACATGGATGCAACTAAGAGAGTCCAAATGATTCAAATTGTTACTAACTTTGTCTTTTTGTCAGGTACACAATGGAACGAAAGTTTCACCTGGATGCAATCAACTTCATCTATAAAGATTTTTGCTTTGAGTTCTTGGAGAAACATAAACAATTTGAAGACGAGATACGTATCAGAGGATATATGGAAATATGTTTACGTATTATTTTAATAAAAATAAGATACTTATCATGCCTAATTTAGGATTTTAAATGGAAAAGGTAGTGTTCGTTTATTTCTTAGTCTTTTAGTTATTAAAAAAAATTATGTAAAGTTTATAACCCTGCAAATTGAATCTCATGAGTACATGGCAAAAAAATATTCAGTCCGATCCAATGTAATGATTTTGAAAAAGCATTTCCAACCCATGCGGAGCATGAGTCCTTTTCCTAATTTAAATAAAAACATAACATTTAAAATGAAAATAAAGACATTACAAAACCACAAAAAAAAAAATAATAATAAATACTACGATAAAAAATAAAAATAAAAAAATACATACAATGCTAACTATTTTAAATTTGTCCTTAATTTTATTTGTCTTTTCAACGCTTGCAACACTTCAAGATCTTCGCACGCCAAACCTTCGATGCTCGTCCTAAGAATTGGCATTGAGGATTTCTTGTTGTTAATAGATTGCTTTTTCTTACTCTCGCTATGCAGTCAATCGCGGTGCTATAGCGGTTAGCGGAAGTAAAGAAACGTTATTTCAAAATAGCAGTTTTGGAATAACGGTGGCGCTATTAACGCCGCGATTTACCGCGATTATGGTCACCGCTATAGCGGCACTATAACCGCTATTTGAATAAATTCCATTTTTGGGCTATTTTACATAAAACAAAACATTTTTTGAGTCATTCCACTGAATAAAATTGTTCTTTCTTAACTCAAACCAAAACTATTGTGTCATTCCATTGAATAAAATTGTGATTTTGTGACTTTGATGACTTCCACTAAAACCATGTATGTGTTGTCTTGCTAACTGTGTTTAAGACTTGAAGTACTACAATATGATTAACTGTCAAATTGCTTAAGACTAAACTGCACAAATGGTCCCTGTGGTTTGCTCAAAATTGCCACTTTGGTCCAAAAAAGTTTGGACTAGCACCAGAGGTCCAAAATTTTCATTTTGTTGCTTGTTTGGTCCAATCTGTTCTGAATTTTTTCAAAATGACGGATTTGCCCCTGTTAATTTGATTTTCTCTTTTTTCTTAATTGTATTTCTGATTTTCAGATTTAAAAAAAAATAAAAAATAAATTAAATCTCTCTCTCTCTCTCTCTCTCTCTCTCTCTCTCTCTCTCTCTCTCTCTCTCTCTCTCAGATCTATAATCCATTCCAAATCGAAAAGGTATTTCTCAGATATGAAAGCCGATGTGCCCTAGAACGATATTACGATCAATCCACCTAACCCATAGATTCCCAATCTTCGTTCTTCTTCCCTCAAATGTAATCGATTTTAGGGTTACGTTTGCTTGAATTTGAAGAGTCGAAAACGTAGTCAATGGACAGAGCAAGTGTTCGACATCGATCCAGCCAAATCGGTTATCCTTATCGTATCTCTATCCGATCTACCATCTGCCCACCGATCGGCTTCGCCCATTTTCCTCTTACCGGCAGATCAACTCAGATCGACTTCCACCTCTACCCACAAACCTTGGATTGCAGACTAGAAAGCTTCTTTCTCTGTTCGAAGTGAGTCACGAGGATCAGTTTGAAGTTCAAATTGGAGATATCGATACTCAAATCTTCAAGAAGCTTCATCAGGTTACCATTATGCCCCTCACCGTGAATATGTTGAACTATTGTTTTATTTATTTGAACCCTAAGTCTGCACCATTGTTTGATTTATGAACCCTATATTTGTATGTGTATCTGGATTTGTGTGTACTATTGTGGCTCGGTGGTAATTAAAAGCTTATTTGGGTGATCTTTACTCTTTATGGAAGCAAAGGATTGAAAAGAGAAAATTGTTTCAGTATATTACAGGATGTGATCATCGGAGGATTTGGTTCTAAGTGTCGAAGAAGGTGTTCTGATTCCAAGGCCTGAAACCGAGTTGATAATCGATCTGGTGGAAGATGTGATCAAGCAGAGTCAAGAATTGAACGAAGGTTTGTGGGTGGATTTAGGTACCGGTTCTAGTGCAATAGTTATTGGAATCGGGAGGATTTCATGGATTAGGATTGAGAGAGAAGGTGGGTTTGTGTGTTTAACACACACACACACACACATACACAGAGAGAGAGAGAGAGAGAGAGATTTCATTTTTATTTTTTTATTTTGTTATAAAAAATTATAAAAATAAAATAGAAAATGCAAATTTTCTTTTTTATTTTTTCTTTTAATCAAAAAAAGTATTTAAATAACAATAAAACTGAAAAAGAAAAAAAATAAGGGTAAAATAGTCATTATGAAAAAGTTAATAGAAAACTGGACCAAATTCGCAACAAAATGAAAAGTTTGGACCTCTGGTGCTAGTCCAAACCTTTTTGGAGCAAAGTAGCAATTTTCAGCTAACCATAGGGACCATTTGTGCAGTTTTGTCATTGCTTAATCATTTTATGTGCTAGCTTGCTTAATCATTTTATGTGCTAGTTGTGATTGTGTTGAAGTATGAAAAAAATGTTAAATATTGTTTATGTTTCTTGTTGATTGTGTAAAAATATGATTAACTATGACATTGGTAACATGTTTGTGAAGCATGAATAACTAAGTATGATATGTGAAATATGATTTACTGATTAACTAATTAACTAATTAATTGGATTGGGTTAACCTTTAAAGTATAATTAGCTAATTAATACTCTAATATATACAACAAATTCTACAAAATAATAATTCTACATAATATTTAAAATAAAAAAATAAAAAAAATAAAAAAAAAAAAAAAAAAAAAAAAAAAAAAAAACCGTTATACCACCGCGAGAACCACGATTTCAAATAGCGGCCAACGACCGCTATTATATTTTTGACCGCGATAACTGCATAGCACTCTCGTCGTATTCGATCAGTCTTCGAAGAATTTCTAAGTACTCACGTCTCAACA